TCAAAAGAAAAGTTGAGCTCGTTTGAAATTCTGTATGGTAGACCTTATACTATGCAAATTGTGAATAGTGATGCTATAGACCAAATAGGTAATCAATATATATATGATTATGTAATTGCTGTAGGGAAACATTTTGATAAAAACACCATGGTAGTAATAGAACACCAGCCCAAACAACCTAACTGTAAACTGCATCCGTTTAACCTCGGTGATTGAGTGTATATTAAGAATCTTTTAGGAAAACCCCTACAAGAGAAGTGGGAGGAACCTTTCCAACTGCTGCTGACCACCTTCACCACAGTTAGGATCAAGGAGCGACCTACATGGATTCACTATTCTCGAGTCAAGAGAGCTCCAGGAGATAAGCAGGAAGACCCAACATCATGAATCCGACTCCCTTCCAAACCCTTTCAACACTGACCATTGGACTCTTGATAAGTATTGTTTTATCCCAAAACCCTACTCCAGAAGGGTTGTAGTCTAGTGCACGCACACTACCACGCTCTGAGGAAAACCCAGATTTTGAAGTTTACGTTTTACATAATAATCAACCTTATACGATAGATGAATGGGATAGCAGAACCCATTTCATAGCACAAAAGAGAGACCAAATTCAAGTAGGGTGCCGAGAGGTCGAGGCTTTAATGGGAAAAACAGATAAACTAGTATTGACAATTGAATTTTGGCAAGAAGCCTCTAGACAGAATTTAATCACTTATAGCCAAGTAAAAGATGAAGAGCCCATTGTTTAGATTCAATGGAAAAGAACCAGTCTCATGTCAATGAGGTAGTATTGAAGGGGGTAGAGCACAGTGTGAAATTATATTCAAGCTAGATCAATCAATGTCGTTTTCATGTAGCAGAGAAGCCAAGATTCTTGAACCCATTGGTGAACAAGGCATTGTAACCGGTAGAACCTTTAAGCGAATCATTAGACTAGCAACAGACTCAATCGTGAGCCCGTCTCGTGAAACCACTCCACCTTTAGAATGTAAAAAGATACATAATTTAATCTTTATAGGGCCTCAAGTAATAAGACAATTGAACGAACTAAAGCTGTTGTTAGATCCTACATATTCTCTGAACAAAGTACAGATAAACATTCAGACAGACATTACACATTTACAGAAAGATTGTCAACCGTTTATACAGCAAAGCCTCAAAGGCTGGAATGCCTGGTTAACAACTAGGTCATACCGCAAACAAACACAAAGAGATATAAGTGGATGGGTTGGCACGCGGTTTGGCATATTAAACACTATAGACCAAGAAGTATTAGTGAATAAGTTAAGTACCGTCACTTCTAATTTGGGAAAGCTTTAAGCTCATCTATGCTAACTTTAACAGAGACACAATCATTGGTAGTCAGATTGATGACCTTAGTAGCCAACCACACTGCTGAAGATTTTGTTAAAATTGCTGACTATACTGGAGATATTAGCAAAGAAATTGCACTTGCTATCCAGTGTGTTCAGACACAACAATGGATACAATCAGTAGCAGCAGGAATATTAAGAGAGGGAATGTCAGGCATACTGCCTCAAGAAATAAGAGAAACAATACTAAGAGATAGCTCCACTACACGATTTGAAAAAGACCACCAGGCTTAGTGACAACTAGTTAACTTTATTTATGATCCACAACAGGAACACATTGAAACCTATGTCCTTACTATTAGTGCCGCAGAAGAAAGAGCTATATTTCCTGTTTTAACATTAGGAACTATGCTTCAGAATGTCATTGTCAAACCTGTGGACCATAACGTTTGGGCAAATTATGATAGTACTAAGAACAAGTGGCAATCAATTAGTACAGAAGCATGTATTCCTAAAGGACAATTAGGTTATATCTGCGAAAATGCCATTGTAGAAGCTGAGGACCTATGCTTAGATGCTGAGGACAGTGTATGCACTTTTGAAATGCTTCCGCACAATGGAGCACGATCACAAGTATTCTATATAGGGAATGGATGCGCTTGCATTAGAACCGCTTGTAATGATGTTACCATAGATAATTGTCATGAAGTGACTAACGATACTAACTTTTGCATATGCAACTTCACAAAAGTCATGGGTTGTGACTTTAACTACACTGCTCCCATAACTACACAGCAGTTAATCGAAACTAAGTATACTTTATATCATGAGATACCCAAGCTAAAGATAGGTATAGATACTAAACTTCTCAAAGAAATGATCATACATCCTGAAGTGGAGAAGCTAGTTCAAAAAGTGAACCAAACAACTCAACGCATGTTGTGGCAGGTAGAGCATAATTCAAAAGTATAAAAATATCCTGACAAAAGTCGCACAAGTAGGTCAACATCACTGGCAGGATATCTTCACAGGATACTCCCCAACAGCAACACAAGTCTTTCACTACCTGATACACCCAGTGCTAATTATAACCATGGCTATGCTCCTGTTAACCCTTATGAATATATGCCTGTAGTGTAAGTTAAAGTCCATAGTCAAAAGAACCCAAATAATCTGGGCGATGGTAAAAGCGTATCAGCGCCCTTTAGGATTAGAACTTGACGAAAGAATTCGTAAGTTTTAGAAAAGGGGGGAATGAAGCCAGGTAACACCTGAGAAGTGAATTTAGTAAAGCAATGTAAGGATTAGAGAGAGTTAAGCACAAATGCAGGCTTTCAGCAAAGCACATAGAGCTCAGTATTAGGAAACAGTGGAGGCAATAAATCCACTAGGATACAGGTCACTTTGACATGAGGGAACATGGGCATGAACAGAGAGAACTAGAAATGCTAGCACACACAAAAAAGGACATATGGAAGAAAACAAAGGGAGATAAGAAAAGGGACAAGCCAAGAAATCAGGAACTTCTGCCAGACACTGGAAATCCCTGCCAAATGCACGAGGAAACTACCCAAATTAGGGAAGGTTCAAAAGTTTAAGAGGAGGATGATGGTGAGGACAGCAGGTTCATGATGAAGGAAGAACGGAACGACCACCAAAGTTCTCCCCAAATTGAAGACCACGCCTCTAACTCCGCCTCAACTCCGCCTGTTATGAATATTAAAAGTAGATGTTGCAATGTAATGAATATTCATAATATGTGATGTAATTGCTTAGCAAAAAGTGTATAAAAGCTCAAATTGTAAGTTCCTCGGGGAAGCGGTTTGTCCAGGGCGACCTGGCCGCTTCCCGGCCGTGAAAATAAATACCTCCTGCTTATAGACTGAAAACTCTGTCTCTGAGCAGTCTCTCTACGCCTTCTTTGGGGCATAAATTTGGCATCAAGGGTAAGTTTTCTTCCAACAAAAAGCAAAATAAAAGAGCAAGAGAAAGTGGAACTTCCTGAGCAAAACAAAACCTCAAAGCCAAAGAAAAGCTTAAGTCTACAAAGGACAGCATTCTAACAGATATGCTACTAAGCATTATTCAGGTACTTCCCAGTGGTCTCTGCAACTTAAAGGTGAAAGGAAAGACATTTTTTATGTTGCTGAGTTGAGGTCATCATCAAAACCTTTGCATGTGAGTGTTAAGCAGTTACACTTTGTGAAGTCAAAGCTGCTGCAAAGCCCTGGGCACAGGGGCACTGTGAGGGTGCACTGCTGAGCATGAGGCTGTATCTGCTTCCTAAGTGTTTTTTGATGAGAATGGCAAGGCAGAGAGAAGCCAGCTGAGTTCCCAGAACCCAGTTTGAACACACAGTGACAGCAGTCTGGTGGAAACATCCCAGTCTCCCTCTTGCAACAAAGACAAATGTGATGTCACTCTCAGCAAGGCACAGTTATTGTGGTCAGGTGTCGCTCGCCTCTTCTCACAGGGCAGTGGCTCTGGAGAGCTGCAGCTCTGTTCTCAGCTCATACAGGAGCAAGAGATAAGGAGGAAGAACGTGATCAAGCAGTGAATTCCTCATTGCTTAGGCTGCATCACAATTTAAACTGGAATTTCTGCACTCAGTGTCACCCACCGCCACCTCCACTGGCTCTTTTTGAAATGCAAAAAGAAGCCAACCTCTAAATAAAATACAGTCAATAAATCTATTTGCTGCTTTTCTGTATGGCTTAAAGGCTTTTTTTTTCCCAAAGTGCTATGCACTTCATTTTATTACATGGAATAATTTCTATTTTATGAATTTGTCTTGATATAAAGGGCAATATCAAAGCTGAAATGAATTGACTCAGACTAGGATGGGCAGTAGCAAGCATGCTATTTTCTCTGGTTAAAAATATATGGTTAGACTACTTACATAGAGAAATATTTCAAGGTTTATGATTGCATGTACAAGTACAAAGAAAACAAAGCCCACCTTGCATGAAATCAAGACTACAATAAACTCCTAAAGCCTTGTGCAGTTTGCCAGAAGGTATAGTTCAAGATCTATAGGGAGAAATAAAAACCTGCCTTGGGCAGATTAACCTGGATTTAAACTATGTAGTACTGACATAAAGGGATTTTTTTTCTGCAACTTTATGTATACACACAGAACATAAAGTAAACCATGAATTAGACCTCAACAGGTAATAAATGGTCTCAAGTGGAAATCCTCCAGTTAGAGGACTTTTAATGACATTATACAGCTCAAAAAATAAGGATATTTTAGCCAATAAAACACACTGGGATTCCTCTTGTTTGCTTTCTAGTATTTGACCCTTCCAGATTTGCATTTTCAAGATTCTCCGTATAGCCAGGACACAAAGATTCCTGTAAATTCAATACTCCAGTGGCTTCCAGAGAAGTACCACAATTCTGCTAGAGCTCACAACAGGCATGTGTGCATTTTTTTTTCAGGTTCTTAATGTCAGATAATAAGTTAAAGTATTATTATGATCTCTTCTTCTGATAATAAAGTGCTGTATTAGCAATGTAAAGAGAACCGAGGCCCCAGACTGACAGAGCAGTGTGACTGACAGACCTCATTTTAACTGATCTCTCAGCAGCAACAGTCATTTATTAGCAATGAATTTGCATGTGAAAGACATTCTGCATGATTGTGTCTTGTGCTTGTCTCTCCTAAAGAGGGGCTTACTATACCAGTACTGCTGTAAAAAGCTAATCCACTGGAAGCACTGAATTCTTCGATGAAAAACTGGGAGAGGGAGATTTGCTCATCTGTGGTCAGGGACTTGTTTCCATGTTTCCAGTACAACATCAGATCATCTTCATTGTATGCATCTATGAGAAAGCAGAAACTAAAGTTATAAAGTCACTGAAGTTATGAAGTTACTAAAGTAAGTCACCCCTTCTGCTGGAATAACGCTTCTGTTTTCCTTTCTTAGGGAGAGGAGACCACTCAATCCAGGAAAGCCCCAAAGAAACATTTTTTTTTTTTTTACATCAATTTGCCAGTTAGTTGGCATGAAAAAAATTTGCAAAGACCATATTCCAGCCTGTTCCAAGTGCAGGCCAGCCCTGTGCCCTGCCAGCAGCTTACCTGACAGATGGGAGACATGGATGTGCTCAGGGTCACAGGGCACACGGGATCAGAGCTCTGGAACTGTCACTGAGCAGATCTGTTCCCTTTTCCAAGACTAAACAACAAACCAGTATCCCAGTTTTACTTATAATCCAAATAAGAATAACATTTGAAATGTGAAAAGGCATATTGACATCTTATTTTACTTTTAGCTTGCACTTTTTTTCTCACGGAAAAAAAGCCCAAACGTGGGGTTTTTTGACAGATTTTTAGATTTAGGCCTTGGAATATTAACCCAGGGGAAGCAAAGTAGGGTGGATCATAGTTTTTCTATCTTTCCAAAGCTCAATGAGTTCTGTAAAGATCTCAAGCTGTTTACAGTTTAGCATGTACATGTTGAAGGGTTCAGGTCACGCATCAGAATAAGTGAAAGGGGTGTTATGAGTGCTGGGAAGAATGCACATGTGAAGAACAATTATGAATTAAACTTACAGCTTTCCAGTTCTAAAGAACAGTTCTGAGTGTCCAGAGGAAACCTACTGAAATCCATGAAACACATAGCAGAAACTGTTATTCTGCAGAAAGGAACAGAAAAAAAGAAACAAAATGAAAAATTCCACATTTTCTTAGAGCTGTGCAGACATCTTAGTGAGATCCCCAGCCAATCTGCTTCTTAGAATCCTAATGATTGAGTTTTTCTGCCCTTTCAGCTTCTCCTGAAATTGCTTCAAGGTGGTGAGATAAAGTTAAATCAGTGAGAGATCACCTTTTTTTAAAACAGAAATAGCCTTTATTATTAAATAAAGTACCTTAGATTTTTAAACCCTTTACTGGCCTGATCCTTCATTAGCCTTTCACGTTTTGCTTTGAAGGGTTACACTTATGAAGATTAACAAAGGGAGTTCACATTTCTTGACTTGATTTCCCATAGACTGAAGTAGATAGTATTACAGATTAGAGCAGATATTATTGCAAGTGCTATTTTCCCAGCTAGAATGGTTATAATATGTAATTGCATAGAAAGATTAGCTGCAATGTCTGGAAGCCTACTCTCTTCTTCAACATCAAGGAAATTAAATGTTTTATGCCCTAAAAAGCTTAAGGAAATCTAGGTAAGGACTATTTTGCATTCCACCTGTTTTTTTCACAAATGTTTTGAGGATAAACAACCCCTTGGCATTTTAACCAATAAACAACAAAAAAACCCCAAACCTGCTAGAGGCAGCAATTGAAATATGGTACCTATCACCAAATTTCCATTTCTTGTCACAGCTTGCATGTCACTTGATGTTTTAGTTCAATTTTTCAGTTTTCCCCAAACATAATCCTACAACAATTTAAGTAAGGGTTATACTGATTATATAAGTGATATTTGAAAACTTGTGGTCAGCAGTCACTCTGTAGCTGAATTTTTACAAGTGTAAGATTTTGCTGGCTTGAAATAAGATTGTAAGAGTGGTGCATGGATATGACTTCCAACTATGGATGTTGTTTCCTTCTTTTAGCTATTGACCAAGGGATCAGGGGAACAACAGGAAAAGAAAGACTATTTTAGCAACAAATCTGGATTTTTATTTCACTTTGCTTCACTAAAATCCTGGATGCTGGGCACTGAAGAAAAACTGTGGAATAAGCAGATTTATTGCACATAAGTATTTGGAATATAATCTGCTCATTGCATGTAAAACTGGCAATACAAAAAGGGTGTCCTAGTGAACATCTGATTCTTTAAGAACATACACGTTAACACCACCCCATTTCTGTCCTTCCCATCACATGCTCCCTGTGGTTTGTGCACAGTTTCTTGTGCACATTAATCTTGATGACACTTCACCTCTCCAGCCAGCTGCCAGGAAGTGTTTGCCCATCTTATGCCCCTTTGCCCCTCTTCCTTCCCCCAGCTGAATGTGTCACACCCCCCACATGGAGGATCCCTGATAAAAGCCTTACTGCAGTAGTGTAGTTCCTCTGGTCACTCCCCCTCTCTCAAGAATCATGGAAATTAATAAACAGAACAATAAAAAGCATACTTCACCTCATTGTTTCTTACTGGTCAGTGTGATTCTTGAACATGTACTACTTTAAAGTGGTGCATTGCTGTTTGGGAGGGTCCTGCATGCCCTCATGAAAGAGCAGATAAATTCATTAATTGCTGGAACAATTATTACATAGCCAAAAATCTCAAGGGCTTCCATAAATCTTCAGACTATCCAGATTAGATGAAATATCACCTCTGTGTACAGGGTTAATTAGTAACCAACTGGAGAACTGTGATTTCTACAATGCATGGCCCTCAGAGTCCTTACCCTTGGGGGAAAATCCCTCCTCCATTAAAACTATTCCTGCCACATCTTCCAAATTTGCTTCATAAAGCAAAGCAGTAACATGCAGATGGAAGAGAGACACATTTAGTGACCTTGTTATTCCAGTTCTGGAACTGCTGTTTCACTTTGCAGTTCCTTGTAGTCACACAACATGCCTGCCTAACACTGCTGGTATCAGCACCAATAATCTGCTTTCTGTGCCTGTCTAGAGCCCTGAGGAATATCAATGGTATGTTTATGGGTATCCCAGGAAGAAAATAGCTGACATAGTTTTAAAATACTCAGCTAAAAAGGAAAAAAAACCCTGCTTTTTTTCCTTTGCTAATAATATAAATAATAATATACAATAATAAATAATAATATAAATAATAAATACTCAGCAGTAAATCTACTGCAATCTTGCTAGTACCACTAGCAATGAATTAACACCTGATAAACTGCCACTATCCTGTGACAGGAAAAAAAATATGTGAAGGACAGAAAAACATGTTATCAAGCCTAAATTTACTTTCCCACTGCTACCCTACTGGTCACCAGTTCCCCATTAATCCCTGCTGGATTAAAGCCAGTCCAGTAGGAGAATCTTCACTGCAAGTATTTCCAGTAATTTCTCACTGCCCAGACTATTGGCCCCCAGTTGCAGTGATGTATTTTCTTACCTCAGGCTGAAGAGAACGTTGCCATCAGGGTATACTCTGAGCATGATGTTTTCCACAGTTGTATCATGGATGAAAGATCTTTTGGAGTGCACAAAAAACACATCAGGTACCCAGATCTTTTTGATCAGTCGCCCATCGAAGGTCATGCTCTTGTTTTTGTTACTGCGAAATGAAAGTCTCTCGTCCTTCCAGTAATGTCTGAGATACAAAGTCATTGTGAAGTCCTTTGTTTCATGAAAAATAAAAGAAGACAATGCCTGTTTTAGTTACATGCAATAGAAGACAGAACAAATTAATCAACTCATGCAAAGGATCAGTTTCTTCTCTGGGTATTATCTGAAGGATCCTCAATGAGGGGAATCAAACACCACTCAGTGAGTTAAAATACAGGCTGGAACTATCACTGAGATACTGGTTGTTTGCCTTGGCACTGGTGGCTGAGTCTGAGGTTCATACTTCATTTATATTTAGGTAATAATCCAGTGGTCTTCTGGACTGGGCCAGCAGTGAAGTGATAAAGAAGCTTTGAAACCAGCCAAAGACCAACGGAAAAAGGTTTCCCCTGGAAATCTTCACAAACTTCTCTGTGAATGGACTGTGGTTCCTTTACAAAGGGATTGGTTTGAGTTCTTCATGAGCAATAGGCCAATTTTTAAAATCCATAAATCTGTACATCTTGTGCCAATATGGTACAGTGGGTTTAGATTAGCACATTTATGAATTAAGTGCATCACAAAGAAACAATATGAAGAATCTCATAAGAGTAAGCAATTAGATTTTACAACAAATCTTTTTTAATATAAAAGATTGTTGCAAATATTTTATCATCCTATTTAGAGCAACCCCATGACTGTAAATATACATGTGGAAAGAGATGAAGAGGATGCTGTCAACTCAGTCTGAGCTTCTGCAGAGCCTGACTGCTCTGTGTTCACCTATATCACTTTTGGCATCATTCACCTCACCATAACAAGTGCTTCTGATAAGAATACTGGGAAGATATTTAGGTCTTCCCCTGTAGTATGACCTGCATGCTTCAAGGCAAGGTTCTACTCTTTAAGGGTCTGTCTTCTTTAACTCTATTATTCTATATCATCCATCTGGATGTTTCTGAGACCTTGAATTTTGACTGAAATCCTTCATTCTGATTCTACTCATCCACTTACCATGTCAACTTCAGATATGCTGTCAATGCTTTCTACCTGCACATCAATGCCCACAGGTATTGGTGACCCTGCAATGTAACAGAACAAGTGGTGAGGAGCATAAATCCACATTTTGAAAGGGAGGACTGTGCATTAGCAACATGCAGAGGGTTCCCCATCCCAGCATTCACTACAGTCTTTCCAGCTTAGCACACTGAATGAGGAAGTCCACAGCAACAAAATAAAACCCGATGCCAAACAGTTGTAAAAATAAGTACAAAATCTTCAGTGATCTGTTTGCAGCCAGACTAGTTGTTATTGGCATTGCAGTTTGGACAGCAACGAACAGCATCCTTGTGATGCCAAAGGGAAGGAACTCCTTGGAGTGCTATTTAGAACAGGGAAAAGCTGAATAAATATATTAAATATATCAAAGATTGCAAAGCTTTCATAACCAGTTCCAATGCTTATTGCCACACTTGTAACTTTATTTTATATACCACCCCACTATTTCATGCCACCGAAAAAGGTTGTGAGTCTTTAGCAAAGCGGGATGTGAATGAACAAATTATAAACATGTATTTGCATTTTTAGAATGAAGTGACTACAAATCAGTTAAAAATTACAGCCAAGTGGGAAACTATTTCCACTCTTGTCAGTGTACACTATCAAGAATGATGGATCTAGTTCTCCATGGGTTATGTACCTCTGCAATTTTCAGCAAGCACATCATTCCACTAATTGACTGATCACTTCCCTACAGAGGAGGGAGAGAGGAATATGTATGTGTGTGTATACACCATACACCCCACCCCCAAGAATATTTTGCATTTGGCATGAAAATCAGTAGGAATCATTGTACATGAGATTCCCATTACACTTGTAAAAAACAGTCAGTTAAAATATTTTTAAAGCACACATTTCAAATAACCCAGAAAAGACACGACTAGAAGGAAGTCTGAACAGCAGCAGATAGAAACAGCTTTTCTAATTTGTCTTTCTCTTTTTCTTGTCTTTTCCTTTTAGCAGTGCCAAGTCAAAATAGTCCAGAAACATCGCCCCCGTGATATCCAGCCACAATACTGTGTGTCTCTTTTGGGAATTATCCTTAAAATAGCAGCCTTTGAGGATTACACAGCTGCCTCCAGTTCTTACCAGTGGGGATCTTGAACTATTTTAGAGGCATAATCCCTCAATTTGACTTGTATTTTTTAATGGAGAGTTTGACCCTGCACAGAACAGATGAAGATGCCCTGTGCATGGGAAAGCAAGATAAGATGTGTTTAGAGTTAGCAGGGCACAGCAGAACATATTTAGGCACTGACAAGAGCTGTGCTGGCTGGCTTGGAAATCCTTTGAGGGGAATGCATCACTCAGTGGCCAAAGCCCAAAACAAGACTCAGGACTCCAGAGTGCAAAGTTCAACTGGTTTATTAGTAAAACACAAGCCAGCACTTCAGAAAATGCTGCTTCTTTGGGAGAATTTGGATTTATACCTGATGTGAACATCGTTCACAAATGGCATTTGCACATCATTTAAATGCAAAAGTTTCTGTCAAATTACGTGGGGGGAACAGGAGGAGAGTGGAGCAACTCCCAACATAAAAAAAAGTTTTACCATTTTCTAAGCCAAGGACAAATCCAAAGCAAACCAAGTTAAATGTCTACCATCAACATTCCTCAAACAAGACAAGGAGCTACCCACAAATCATAACCCAGAATAGGACGACTAATTTTCTAAGCCATCTGCCATGTGCAGTAAGGAAAAGGCTTTCCTTAGTGACAGCTGCTCAAAGTGTGATGATGGCAGTCCCAATATCTCTTGGAATTTCAAAAATTACAGACAGTTTCTTACTAAACAAGCATTTTTCCAGTGTGGGCACAGTTTCATTCAGTAATTCACCTCCTCTGGGTAGATATAAACTGATCACAGAAGCAGAAATCAGTGGCAGCTTATGATGATGATGATGGTTGCATGCACACAAACCAAAGTGCCACTTACACATGAACACACCCAGGGACATGTGACTCTGAAAGGAAGCTTGCACTGCACTGGCAGCTCTCATAAAACCAACTCAGTGGGGACAACGAACAGCATAAAAGAGATCAAAACCTATGGCCAGGAGAAATACAGGAAACTATTCCAAAGTGAATGGAAAAAAAAGGGAACAGTTACAATTAAATTTATTCCCGACTAGTGGAAATGCTAGAACTGTGAAACAGACTCCTCAATAAGAGATTCCTCTTCTCTGGAGAAAGACAAAAGACTGTACCCATGATGCTTAAGGAGAAAATACTGTTCAGTCCAGCATTCACCCCAGACAGTTATTAAACCACATCCCCCACCCCAGCCCTGACCTGTTATTGACAGATCACAGCAGCTGCAAATATTTCCTTCCTATTCTGACTTATTTGGCAATAAGTGTAAGGAGATAATAAAGACATTCATCACTGCACATGTATACAGCCCTGATCTCTTCAGTGTTCAATTTTCTCATCTGGAGTACTTTCATATTGTTGTCACTAACACACACACAACACCCCTCCCAAGATACCTGCTGGCCTTACTTCTGGCTTTCTGGGAACATTCCTTTCTGTGATCAAAAACCAAGTCCACTAGAAACAGTAATACTTAGCTATCAGGAACAGGTTGCTGAGAACTGTATTTTCTTCCTCCTTGGATTTGTTTTACCACGAGAGGACGTTTTTAAAAAATATCATTTCAATAAGCATTGGAAAGATTCCTAAACCAGCCTCTGTGTCTGCACCACATCTTTCTCCCTGCTATAGTGAGAATTTCAATCTCTGGCTGACCATCAGACAACAGCAGCAAAGTCACTTTTAAAAAAAGTCACCAGAGCAAAGCTGTGGGTTTTATTTCCCAGTTTGACAAAACTGGGGACGGCAGAGAGGATTTTGTTATTAAATTGAGCAGCTTCAGTTGCTTCTGGAGAGTCACTAGAAATCATTATTTTAGAGGGATTAGTGATTTCACAGTGGAGGCTCTGCAGATTTTCAAGATAATTACTCCTCAGCAAAAAAAAAAAACAACAAACCAGCATTGTTTTCAGATGGGTTTATCTTCACACAAGCCATTTCCAGTCTTTAATTTTAAAGGTTTAAAAATTGCAAAAGAATTCCTTGACGAGCATGGAATTTTTTTAACAGACAGTACATCAGGCCAAATTCCATAATACCCTTTTTAGAAGGGCTATTATGTAAAAAGGATACCCTTTTAGCATTTTTAGGATCAATTTCTACAGTAATAATGACTGGAATTCTATAGTGTTTTTATAATAGTCAGACCTTTGAGCACACAGCAAATTCCATAAAATAAATGCTGAATTTAGAAAAACCAGCCACTGTATCCCAGTTGAATTTGTAACAGTGTATGTGGGGGGAAAAAAGCAAAGCCTATAGAAAGTTCCCAGTAGGAGACAGAGACCAGGAGAGGATTAAGGCCTATGGGATTAATTTCTTCTAAAAAGGCTTGTGGACCTGTAGAGGAAGAAAACTGGATAGAAATGTAAACAAGCCCCAGAGAAGTGAACATATGTGGATGTGTTTACTTTCCCCTGGCAATGATAGAAACAGGAGAATTACTGGCAATGATATTTTATTCTTGGTACTGTTCTGTTTCTTTTTTATTTATGTGAGAAATGGAGGTGGACTGGTATTAGCAGTAGTCAGCTCTTGGGATGAAAGAACTAGCAATGTTTTGGATTTTTTTCTCAATGTAAAAGAGAAAAAAAACACCAGAAGATGACTGTCAGAGGTCTTGCAAATAAAAATATTTCCTTCCTGTCCTGGACCCCACCTATTCCTTCCAGTAACAGATGGTAAAAAGCCATTCCACTTTCATCAGTGTGAGTCTTCACCATGGTGAGAAGATATTTCTCATCTTTCAGGGAGAGCTGTGGTGCAAAAAATAAAACAACTTGGTGGCAAAGAGATATTAGAAAATTCAGATTATACTTATTTGCACATTGGGATGCAATTGGGCTCTTGACCAGCTAAATGCTGCTGAATTCTTTTCCATCATTTCTGATACTTGCTAATGTTATTATCCTCTACATTGGTTGAGAAAGCAGGGATAAGAAATTTTAAAACTTTAACTAACACACCATTAGTACAGGAAATTACAGGTCCTTAAGCCACAATGTAAAAGAAAAATAAAGTTGCCATACTAATATAAATATATATACATAAACACTCAGTGAGAACTTCCATGTACACAGTGATTATGAGCATGTGGTTCCATAAATTTTAAAATGCAAAATAGTTCAGAGAGTGAGTGGAAGGATTTCACTGTCGGGAAAACCAATGTATAGAGGAATAAAAGCATGATCTCCTCTATATGCTGGTCTGTGATCTTTTTTTAATGGCAATATTAATTTTCAGTAAGTGGAGACAAAACCCGGGAAACCAAGAGCTCACACCACCTACCAGTACTTTGAAATAATATAGTTCAGAAAATAAAAGGATGTAGATAAATAGGTGTATAGTAGAAAAGAAAGAATTTCTAAGGTTCACTTTAGGACCTCTCTCAGTGTGCAGTTTTGGCTGCTATGGGGCCCTCAGATCTGAGCTGCTACATATCTCTGTTCATTGTCTGGCACTGGCCTGTGCTCAGCCCATCTTACTGATGATAGTCATTCCAAGGAGGGCTGGCAGCATGCTTTGATTTCTTCACTCCAAATTTCAGGTGTCTTCTCACAGATTATCTTCTGAAAAATCCACTGAAGTACTTTGGGCCACAGCAGATGAAGATACACAAACCGTGACAAGATCTGACTCTGAGCCTACTCGCAGTCCTTTGTCTCCTCTGGTAGGACCTGTGCAGACACACAGCCCTGCTAGGCCTGGCAAGAACCATCCTGCCATTGCAGAACCCCTCACATTCCCACCTCCTGGCCTTTGTCAGCGCCTCTGGAAGCAGCAAGGCCTAAACAAAATTCCTACAACGCTCACTGATGCAGCTGGTAAGGCTGTAAGAGCAAAGGAAAAATCCATGCTCCTAGTCCAGTTCTAGTGGAATTACTCAAATCATTATGCTGGGCCACATCTGTTTGCATCAGCAGGGGATCCATCTACTGAAGCCTTCCAAACAATGCCAGACCATGACATTACACAGAAGGCAACAATCAAACAACAACAAAAAATTCAGGAAAGGGAAAAACCACCAACACCACACCCCTTCCACCAACAACTGAACAGCCTGGCTTAGGGAGTATGTTAAGTAAGATACACTCACATAAATGACAGCAGAGATGTGTCCATTTGGTCAAGAAAAAGGATCTCTTACCTCCACGGAGCAACTTCCACGACAAAGCAGCCAATCACGTGAGCAAAGTCACAATTATTCCTAGTAACACTGCAGCCAGTAGCATCAGTATCCAGCAGTTCCACATTCATTTCCCCCAGGTTTTTCCCTGTGCATATTTGCTCAGTTTACGAATCACTGTGCTCTGTTTTTCATTTGTAACTTAATTATAGGTACTAAAAACTCTAGGTCCTTTAATCTGCCTCATTTACATTGCATGTGTGGGGCTAAATGAAATCAAACTTAGATTTAAGAGTTCTCTGCACTGAGGAACCTCCAGCAGGTTCAAAACAGCACGAATTTTCCAGCTGCTTTTTTTTCCCTAAACTGGTGCAAAGGATGATTGACCTACTGAGGGAAAGGGGCACAATGGAGCCAGATTAACAAAATCTGTCATTCCAACTCCCTGACATACCCAGAAAATCCCAATAGGGTATAGGAGAGGGAAAAAAAAATGTCTCTTTTCTAAAGGTGAAGAATAAATTCTTGTTTTTCACCCAGCTTTTTTGACCTGCTTTCTTTTCCTCTGTTTCAAATTGATTCATGGTGCTGAGCTGAATAAATCATGCAACATGGCATGTGACAGATACAAGCCCTTCATGAATCACAGTGCTGAGATGTTTCATTAGATTTGATGAAAACAAACCCAAAATTTCACCTGCTTTAAATACATAAAGCCACAGTAAGTCCTTGGGCAGTTCAAGGCTATGTTATAACTGCTGTGGCAATGATATCTCTAATTTCACCTTCTCCTCTAGGTGAACTTCCTTCTGCTGCACACTAAATCACCAGCATTCTTCTGTGAAAGCCATACCCTGTCTCTGCTGTCACAAAATAATTCTGAGTATGTTATTCAGATTCATGTTTCAGTTGTGATATTTGTCCACTGATGAGAGCACACTTGTGCATTTACTCTCTGCTGCTGCCTCTTGAAAACAAAATCATTCTTTACTACTGCAACATCACTGAAATCAATGGTAAAACAGGAACAATGGAGTATAAATTTGGGATTTCATTTCACTGTGACTTCTCTCATTCTGTGCTGTAAAAATGCTAATGCATCTGTTTTAGTCTAAGAGAGATTCAGGCATTAGTATTCCACATTTTAAGAGAGTTCTGAAAATTTGGAAGTGTGTGAACTGTTGGATGTGACTGAAAAAAAGTGCCTCCCACGCCACTATGGCATGTGGATGACAGAGGAGAAGCGAAGTTGATGTGCTCTCCTGCTGGAAGCTGTTTCTGAGAGACAGGAGTGCAGCTGAAATCACACCCACGGCAGTGTGATCAGTGGGAGGCCCGTGCAGTGAAGGCAGTGGAAAAACTACAGCTGGCTTCAAGAGGAATTGAATGGGCTCAAGGACCAGTCATCTGAAAATGAAAGGACAAGGGGAAAAAGCCTGGTGCAGATTTTCTGGAGGTAAAAAAATCCTCGCTGCCCGTGGAAAATTACAACTGCCAGCTCACAGGGTATATTCTCAAAGCTGCTTTTATGTATGTACATCATAAATAATGCTTTCTGGGATGATGCAGCAATGAAGGAAATCCCAGACCTCTGCCTGCTTTGATGGAAATGCTACTTCCTTTCTGAGATGACGCTTCCAAAAACTTACATTCCTTGTGTGGCAAAGCAGGCGGAAACAAGAAGAGATCCAGAGACTCTTGAGACTAGACAGGTATCAGGCATGAGGTAATTTGAACTTCTGTTGCCAAGAAACAGACTCTATCTCAACTATTCTTCAAAATCAGGCAAGATTTCTGATCTCTGCCAAGACATAATTTCTATGGTAACAAGAAACTCTCTCACATTCTCCCAGTGTATCCAGAGAGGCTCTTCTTACCCCACATCTCCTGGAATGCTTGTCAGGCCCCAGATCCCAGCAGCTGGAGTTAACAGGAACAGCTCCACAGACTTCAGCCAGCCTTCCAGATTTATGTTTGTCTACACAACTGATTATTGGTCCTCATATTTTATTTTGGCTTCATAATCCAGAGCAGTTCAGTCTATTTTCATGAATCATGAAAACAGAAGTGGTGACGCAAAGGCTCAGACAAAGCTTATTATGGGGTGGCTTTCTCATTTCCCCTTTTCATGAAGGAGAGTCAAAACTGAATCTAAACTGTGAACATCCCATTAAATACTCCCTTTATCCAGATGCAATTTAGTTAAATGAAGAAATAATCATCAGAGTGCCCAACAACACAGAAACAACATGGTGATACACTGAAGGCCTGTGGGTAGTTTTTTAATTCTGCACAGAGCAAACAGATTTAGGAACTGGTGGTTCATTTCAATCTCCCAAAACAAATCTGGTGACTAAGTAATTTGCTAATTGCTACTAGACAATGCAGTTTACAGGGATACCTTAATCACTGTTCTCAAAGAATCCTACTCTAACAATATTTTATTTTAATTACTTCTGGAAAGGAGACAATACGACAAGGACAAACTTTTCCTACTGATAAGCTAAACACAGAAAAGTCTCTTTTGCCTAAAAGCATTTCTAGATTTCTTCTTTATTTATTTCCTGAAGTACAAAAGAGGTGCTCTGCCGTTAAGTCTGTCATTCCAGAGAGAGGATAAAGTCTTAACCAGCACAGTGCAGGTGTGTGCTGCTTACCTCCAAATCCAGGTCGCAGTGCAAAGTCATGGTCCTCTATGTGAAGCAGCTGCTCAGATTTAAGCGGCCGTACTTTAGTGCTGTCAAGTTTCCTCATTTTAATTTCTCGTTTGCTAAGTTTTAAAAAAGAAAAAAAAAGTAAGAAACTTAATTTTTTTTTTTTCTGCCTGACATTCAGACTGCTGGTTAAATCAAGTAGGGACCCAAAAGTACCAGACAGTTGAATCTGGTATGATAAGGGTAACAACTGTGCCAATAAAGTTAGAGAAAGATATATTGGGAAAGGTTGGGAAATGAGGTATGAGGGTGCCCAGGTCCATGAAGAACACCAATTATTTATAAGAAGCCCCAGGAAAAACATCATGATCTCCTTCTGTTCCCCTCAGAGATTGTATTTATCATTATACAAGAGAATAGAGCTGTTTGAGAAAAAGTTATTACTCATATAAACACTTGCAACTCAAACTTGGAAATAACACCACATACCCATGGCTTAACCACTTCATACATTATCCATATTACAGAGACAATTATTGCTTTTATTATAATTGTGGGGTTTTTCCTAGGAGCTCAGATGGGTCAATAATTTTTAAGGACTGAGAAATGAGGATCCTGGATCTAGGGACTTGCAGGGGTAATGGCTTTAAACAGAAAGAGAGTAGGTTTAGATTAGGTATTAGGAAGAAATTCTGGGCTGAGAGGGTGGTGAGGCCCTGGAACAGACTGCCTGGAAAAGCTACAGATGCCCCATCCCTGGAAGTGTTCAAGGCCAGACTGGATGGGGTTTTGAGAAACCTGGTCTCGTGAGTGGTGTCCCTGCACAAGACAGGGGGGATTGGAACTGCATCATCCTAGGAGTCAATGTTCTATAGTACACATTAGGATCACCTTTCTCATGGTGACAATAGTGAAACATGGGAACATATTGCCTGGGCAGGTTTTGAGACTCCTTTCACTCAGGCTGTTTAAGAATAGGTCAGACATTTCTTTGTACACGTGACTTAATACAATTGCTTTGCCACAGGCAAGGGGCTCTCCCTAGGCACAACTTCTTTTGTGCTTTCTGTGATTCTCTGGGACTTTGCTGCCAGCAACTCCAATTACTACTTTAGACTGACTGATAGATATTTGTTCTGAAGATTTGGCCCTGTAGGCAAACACTGCTTAAGGCAAAGTATGGAATACCTCAGGATAAGGTGTGGGCCTGTATTTACTTATTTTTCTCCTTTCCCCCCCCTTTTTTCCTGATAATGAAGCCCATCAAATTAATTTTAAATTACAAGAATGCTGAGGGGGCCATGGGGCTGCTCAGAACCGCTGGGCTTGAACAAATTAATTGACCTTAGCACCCTTGAAGGTCTGTATTAATGTTGGCTGAATCAAATTATCAGGGCAATCAGAAGGCCCATCAGGCATTTCAAACACAGCCTTTAGTTTTCCAAGCAGGAAAATCACGTGGATGCTAAAACGAAACCCCGTCCTTCAGAGAATTAAAACCACCAGAGAGCAAGCCTGTGTTAGAGCAGGATGGGCAGCAGGACTGAACACCTGCAATGCTCTGCAACAGGGAAATTCTGCTGCCTGGGAACCAGCATAAGAGGAGATGATGAATTATGCTCAGAATGCCGTGGCACAGCTCATACACTTTGGAAGCAGCGGGTTATTTGTCAGCGGATGCACCAAGAAAAAGGGCTGTTTGATGCTCCGATGATTTCACTGGAAGAAGCAGCCTGGAACTATGATTCATCTGTCACAGCTTCTTACTAGAAGTGTGTGACTGAGACAGGCTTTCCCTGGCCATGAGAGGCAAAACATAAGCCACCAGGGCAGGAATGTTCTACTTAATAAGCCACTGAGAAGAGATGTTACGGGACTGTGATATTCCTTCTATTTTCCCAGATGAGGACAAAATAAACAGAAATGCTGCCTCTATGAAAAACATCTTTTGTGCCCACTTACTTGAACAGCTGATGTTTTATATATGCAAATGGTGGAATTCTATAATTATTTCTAGCTGCTATCAAAAATGGTTCTTCAAGCCAGGCAACATCTTGCAGGTGTCAGAAGAGCATTATTAGCATTATTACAAACATGCTATATCTTCTCTTCAATACCTTCCTATAAACCTTTACAGTAAAGGAAAATAGGCTTGCATGCAGAGATATATGCTTATGGTGCTTGGGATGAATTTCATGGACATTGGTAACCTTCCACCTGTAAAGGTACCAAAACTTGGAAAAATTCCATTAAAATTTCTAAGATAATTAAAAAATAATACACTTCTGCTTCACATTTTTTTCTCCTGTTGACTGCTTCCCCAAGCCAGGGCTAAGAAGTGTTCTCCAGCAGATACTCCTTTAACATCAGCATCTGGGCTCCAGATGTTGCTCCTTGGCAGAGAGTTACACTGTTAAATTGTCCTCACTGCAGCATTACAGTTATTTAACTGATGATTCAAAGGGAGTCTCATGTATGCGTTTGTTTACTCCAAATAAATCTTAGACCAGGAGCTAACTATTGATCAGCACCACAGCATTGTGAAATCAGCAGCACATGTCTTCATGCTCCTTCCCATGGTATCAATTCCATTAAAAAGCAGAAGAGGTGTCTGGGAGGAAAAGCCCACACAGAACCACAGAATCATTCAGGTTGGAAAAGACCTCTAAGATCATCGAGTCCAACCATTAACCCAGCCCTGCCAAGCCTATCCCTAAACCACATCCCTAAGCAACCACATCTTGCCTTTTAAACACCTCCAGGGATGGTGACTCAACCATTTCCCTGGGCTGCCTGCTCCAGGCCTTGACAGCCCTCTGAGTGAAGAAATTTTTGTCAAATCATTTGCAGATGCATCTATCAGCAGACACATGCATCTAAAAAAGGGAAATTACCTCCCTGGGTGCACTCTGACAGATGCCTTGGTATTAGCATAGATCTGGGCAATGATCAATACCACTTTATTGGTCTCAGTGAGGCACGTGCTCAAGAAACTCCTGCTTCCAGTTACAGCTGTGCTCTCCACAGCTGTATTCCAGGCAGCATTTTTCATTATCCAAATGAAATGGTAATCTATGACTACATTCCAAAAGAGGTCGTAAAAAGCACTTGAAGTGTTTCAGCTCACACAGGGAGGACACCCCTGTTGGTAATTATACAGTAAGTTAATAGAAGCACTAGATTTTTGGATGAAAAAAAAGTGAGGAATACTGTTCTGTCACTTCCTTACCCAGTACTACTACATGGACCTTCGTATTTGACAGAACTCTCAAAGAGCAGTTACTCACTGCCTACAAAACCACAGCAACTAATTCAGAATTATTTTTAAATGGACAAAGATGTGTCAGGTTTTTAAAGATAAATTTAGCTGCTCCTGCCTAACCTTGATTACCATTAGGAAATGAAAGGTCAACGATCTGTTCAAGGGTACTTGGATCATTTTTGTTTAAAGCATTTAATCACTTAATGCCACCAGTGTAGCTCCATGGCATTCATGGCACTGCTGTGGTTAGCATCCCAGCTGGTTGTCTTCAACCTAACCAGGTTATCAGAAGTTTATGCTGCTTCAGGGAGCAATGGGACAAGTTCATGGAAAAGAAATCCACTGAAGATCACTAAATCTACAGAAATTACATCCAACACAGGATGTATCTGAAGGAAATTTGCTGACTTGACGTAGCTGGAAGTACTAGGGAGAAATATCTTATTTGTTTGCCCTGTCCTTATTCTTCCAAACCTGTGCTTACAAGCCCAGGAGTAAGATAGATCCTGCATGGCTGTTCTTCTGTTTTAGTAGGGAAAAAATATCTTGTTATACGTTATACTCAAAATGAAATTAGATAAGTTTATGAAAAGAATACTATTAAGGACACTTTTTGTAAAAAGAATACCCTGGATTTCATGGCCATAGGTTTCTTTCCAGTGCTGTGTTCCCAAGATATTTTATCTACTACTAAATCAAAGGTATTCAAAAGGTAGAAGTTACAGAAATCTTACTCCCAGAAGAATCTGTGGGGTTACACAGCAGTGTTTTAACAAATTTACCAAATCTTGAAGACCAGACAAATGTAATAATCAAAGTTGTATAGTTCTCTCTCACACACATAAAAATGCATTTCTAAGTGTTCAGTAACATCAGCAACATGCACTGTCAAAAAGCCCAATATTTTGACAATCAAATGTTTTGTTCTTTGCTGCAGGAAATGGACCATGAGAATAATCGCTTTCTCATGTACTTTTGGTTAATGCTTTAAAATCTTCTTTACAGGAGAATGCAGACAAATAGCTTTGGAGGGAGAACTGGGTTACTCTATTAAAACAGTGGAACTTGTAGGTTAAGTAACATTTTCACATGGGATTCTTTTTAAAAGGCCACCCATTTAACCAAGGCCATCTGTCAGCTGTGTCCCTAATAACCCTCGTGCTGGCTGAAAGATTTTTCCCCAGAAAGAAAAAGAGGCTGGTGGAAAGTCAGACCCTGTTGCAATGAAGATAATTCTTCCTGAAGAACAAAAACAGAGAATGAAACAAAGAGAAATTAAACACACTTGGATCCTTTGCAGAGAAAAGCTGGATTTGCAGCTGCTAAGCTTTGGGATCCTGCATGGCTCAGATTCTGCAGGCTTCTTCCTAGTTTGAAATCACTGGGACCTCAGAAGTGGAATATGTGGGATGCCAAAGCATGCCTTGTGTAAAGAAAACTGCAGTCTTGGCATTCCTCCTTGTTCCTATTCTTCCTTTTCTGTTAACACCCTGCCTGTCTCACAGGACTGTCACATGGATCCATTTCTATGCATTAGTAAAGATCTGTGAAGGTGGAGAGGACACTGTGCTAATATTGGTACTGCTGTCCTATGGCAAGAGGATGTCCAGCAGGATGCCTCAAAATTTGCTTTCTCCTACCACCAGGATTCTTTCCTGCTTTGTGATTTTTTTACGTCACTGATGGAGCGACTGCTCTCAGCTACTGCAGAACAGGATAAATGCAAACAGGAGCACATGCTTTCCTTTCAGCACAGACAAAAGTGTATCAGCTGAGCTTGAAACACACCCTCCTTGCCACTACCATTAGAAATAACAAGGCATTTGATGCTGTTTCCATTTGATTTTTAACTGCTTCCTGAGACAAGCGAAGCACCAGATTAAACCTTATGTTGATACTAGGGCTAGTTCTGCTTATTTTCCTGTGAGCACCCACTCACAAAAGCTGTCAGTAAGTTTGAAACAATCTGCTGAACAGCCATGCTTTTCATGAGCTTTTGGCTTAGACCAAACTTGAACCTATACCTTCAAAAAGAAATCCAGAGGTACTGAGTGATGCAACATCTCCAGGCACCTCTGGTGTGTAATCTGTTACCTTGCGTGGCTTAAACGTGATTTTATCAAGACATGTAGGGTTTCAGAGATATTTCACTGATGGATTATCACATAAGAAGTGGTACAGGAGGTGAACAGCTGTAGCCCTGTCACAAAGCATGCAACTTGAGGAAAAAAAACCAACTTGAACACATCAGAGGAGTCCACTTATGTTACTTTTCCTCAATATGTGATACTGTACAAATAAACTATCAGCTCCACTGCTCATTTTAGTAGGTGGTCAAGCACATTGAAAAATCTAGCAGTTGTATCCCTTCTCCTCCCTTAAATGGAGCTATTTATTCCCAACAAAGAGAAGTTTTCCTTGGATTGTCACTGGCAGTGATTGGTCTGTTCACATACTATTAGATTAATCTGGAAACGTGTTGAGAGACCTCACGTGGCAGATGGGAAATTGCATTGGGGGGGAAAAAGCACTAACATTTTGCACATAAACTCACATGTAAAAACCTCTGTATCATTATTCATTTCCAATCAGCTACTTGATTGGAAAAAGCAGAAACAGAGACAATCTTCAGTGTATAGAAGCACAAGTATATTCTAGAAAGGGAACACACTGTGTCGTCACTGTAAATAATCTATAATTCACGTCATGTAGCACCATAAAAATGTCTTCTGTATCTTTACAGCGTAGCTACTCTGCTGTTTAGGTAATGGAAGTCACCTTAAAACTTGAAATCACTTTGGAAGGCATTTCTGCTTCTTGTAATGGGAGTGAGAGGGCAAGAATACTTGGTACATCACAGCAGTAGTCTGGCATCACAATTAGTAGCCTTATATCATAGGAGATAAAAGAGCTGGATGTGAGTGGGCACACACCTGCATATATATATATTAAGCATTCATGAAATCACAAAATGAAACATCTGGTTATGAAAAATTAATGAATATTTCACCATGTCTGTTTTCTAGCAATACTATGTGTTACTATAAATCCAGAAGCAGGAAAACAGGACAGTGAACAAAAAGAGTGCATTGAAAGGTGTCTGACAGCATGAAGTTCACCAGAGGAACACTGACAGATAAAGTATGTTGCTTACCTGGTATGCTTTCTTGAGAAAGATAATTGCTGCCGACGATGAAGGTGGTGGTGCTGACTGTGAGAGCTGTGTAGCGTTGCTGTTGGCCACAGGCAGGTGAGGAACAGAAGTTTCATGACCAGGACCATCTCTTCCAAGACAGAAACGCACCTGATCACCCAATCCACCTTGCTGACTTCTTGTTTTCAGTGTTTTTACTGCTTAGCAACAGCATAGCATACAAAAGATGCACGTGAAGCATCACTGAAGTGAGAAGACAGGGGCATCCCAGTCCTGACGTCCTCGCCGAGTTCCCCTCATACTTTGGCAAATCATAAATATTTCTTCAGCTGCACATCCCTGCAGCATCTGCTGTCAAAACAGAAGCACCTGGTTCTCAGAAATGTGGTAGATCCAGCAGTTTGTTTGGGCAGGCTGCAGTCTGACCCATTGCTTCCACTCCTTCAGCATAGGCGCGTTTTTAAATTCTCCATCACCCGCTCAGTAACCTCTTCCACATCGCCTGTGCAGGCAAAGTGATGTCAAACATTTAATCCCCCTTAAATCCCACACAAAACCATACAAAAATCTGCCTTAATGACAAAGGTCTCTAAATTAATCTTGCTTTATGTATATGTGTGTCTGTCTGCTCAGAATCATTTTCTGTGCAGATCAAGCTCTTCTGTTAACTGTCTTCCCAACATCATTTCTGTCTCTGTGATCTCCAAGCATTTTATCTGCACATGCAGAACTACTTTTGGACAGAACAATATCACAGAACAAGTCCAAACTAAAAAATGAAGTCTTGTTTCAATATTCCTTCTCTTTCTCTTTTTTTTTTTAACTGAGCTCTGCAGCTGTTTAATCTATGCTAAATAGAGGTATGTGCATGTCTAAGATCCAGTATCTTCCACCAACCCCAATTTTATCTATACCTCATTTAGCCTGTCCTGACTGTTCAACAGCAGGCTGAATTGCAAAGCATTTTATTAACAAATTGTTGCTTAAGCAATAAATAGTGCATGCCAGCTACAAAAGATGGTAAGATTTCTTCTGGGCAATGCTGGGGACACACCTTCTTAGATGTCAAATTTATCCTTTTCAAGCCATCAGCAAGTTCAGTCATTATCACAATTGACAGCGTATGTTTATTTTTCTTTATTTAGATAATCAGAGATTTGAGACTGAAAGTCTGGGAAATTAAAACACCCAACCTCTGTCTAACAGAGAGAGGAGTAATTGGGGTCTCCCAGCAGTAGATTTCTTCCTAAGTAAAACAAACACAGGAATAAAACTAAGCCCAACACCGTGTCTGCTGAGATTGTTAACACCCAGGCACCCTGGGACAATAATTCTGTCATGTGGGCAACTGCCTCCTCAGGAGTTTCCTGAGATTTCCAACTAACTTCAGCTGAGCCAAGAAATAATTCCCAGATGCAAATTACTTCCACATGGAGGTTACCAATTGACAGCTAATTCCCACTGGTTTTTTTCCATTTGGAGTTGAACAGCTATCTGCCTGTAACTTAAAAAAACGTGTGGGGGGGGAAGAAGTTCCTTCCCAACCATCCATAAAACTTTAACGGTGTTAGATTGAGTTTGGTGGCCTAGATCAATGGCCTTCAACCCTATTATCCATCTCATTCAACTGTTCATGGTTTAATCCTTTCCTGTTCAGCAAATTTAGGGAAGATCATTTGTAGCCTGATAGTGCTTCCAGCAGATCTTGTGTATTCCCAGGAGGGAGTTTCTAGACAAGGTAGACACAACCTGTAGTTAATAAGACCTTTAACAAGCTTTTAATCATTATCATTTGAATGGAAAAGGGAAAATAAACAATAACTCTAATGAGAATTTATTCCAGGAGGAGATAATACGAGTTCCTGAGCCAGTCTGGTTAAATTCCCTAGTCTCACCCAGCCTACATATATCAAAGTATCAGACCATTGATTAAATTACCTACAAGAAAAAACCAAAAGCCTTTGGATCCTGTTCTTTCCCCACCCAAGCACAGGTCCAACAGTAGCTGAGGTTATCCACCAAGAGCTCTGAAGGGGTCTGTGGCTAGATCACGTCATGCTACTGCAGAAATTTTGTGTACTGACCTCAAGGAAGTCAAAGGAGTCCATTAAAAACAAGTAAGGAAAAATTGCTTTGTGAATGTATTTCCCAGCCGGAAAAGCGGGTGCTTAGAACCCCTGCTCCAGAAATATGCAAACACAGGCTATGCAGAATGACTGGCACACCTCTGGCCAAGCTGCATATGGATGTCTCTCCCTCCAGAAGAGGGGAGCCTTTAGCAGAGAAAGAGGCAATCAGCTGCTGTTTTCATTCAGCTCTCGGCACCCTGCTGTTTTATTACTCCCGGCTGTAGCAAGAACTGCGGTGCTGAAAAGACTGCTCCGTGGAGGGTATCCAAAACATGCTGAATGCTCCTTTGACTGCCCCTGCTAAAACCAGCTTTACTAAAAAAAAAGAAAGGGCTTGGGTGCATTGACACATTCCACACCTTCAGGAGGTTGATGCCATAAATACACCTTGAGGGTCCTTGCCTAAGCACAGTGAAAATCTAAGCACTACCCCTCTGTCCTCGAGTGTGGCATATTTCCAGAAACGGTCCGGCCCACACACGTGGAGTCCTCAGGACAGATTCCTGCAGAGGGGAATGGCAAACACTTCCACTGACCAGCGGGAATATCAGTGAGGGCAACTCGCTGTCACCCACGGCGACGGGGTTTCTTCATGCTAGAGCTGTTTTCATTTCCTCTGGGCAAGGGAGCATTACACAGAGAAGATTATAATATCATTCTAAATTGCCATTAAGAAAACAGGTTAATCTCCTAGGCATTTGTCGGTAATAAATTCTAAGAAGATCCATCTTTGCAGAAGAATAAAGACAAGGTAATATACTTTGCTTGTGCTGGGTGAGTCGCTGATTGGTTCTTGTGTTTAAACACAGAGCATTTTCTCTTTGCTATCAGTAAAATATTTCTTTAAAATTATCCCTTCTCTGCAGCCCATGAAGAGTTTGCAGTGCTTGTCTTTCCAGGACAAAACCCAGCAGAGGGTGCATAAGCTCACTGGAACAGTTTACAAACAAGCAGGGAAAGAAAAGAAACAAAGGTGAATAAACCACCTGGTATCAAAAAAATGAGATGCCTTCTTTTAAGTCAGCAAAATAAAACATTGCTTCTGGTAACTGCAATCTGGAACTACAGACCCCTCTCCACCACAGATCACAAGGCAAAGCAAATTGACAACAGCTATTATAAAAATGAAAACAGAAGAATGCCAGGGATGAAGAGAGGTTTCAGAGGCTGGAATTTTGCAGGAAATCTGATCACACCTAAAGGCCACTTTAAACACATGGAGCTGAAACACCACAGCACACCAGCACTTACCAACCTGTAAATTAGCTGCAGTGAGAAGAGATGCCAAGTGGAATGGGTAGTGTGGGTTTAACTGGCATGTAATTTTTTATTCTCCTAATCAGAGAATGAAACACAAGGAAAAAAAACCCTCATTAGTAAGAGTCTCACAGGAGGCACTCACTTCTGATAAACAACCAGCAAATCACAAAAAGCAGATTAACCAGAGCTGTGTCTGTGAGAGTGTGAATGCAACGCCACAGCACAGGAATAGGCAGCATTTTGCTTTTCTATGGTAACAGACTTGGTATATAAATGGTAACTTACCACTTATATCGTGGTGACTTGCAAAATTAATGTCAGAATTAAGGACAGTTTGTCCCGCTTATATTAATGCAAATGACAAACCAAGTTCCCAGAATAAGGTATCTGTTCACATTTCCTAACAGGATGAAGTGGGAGGAAAGCAGACACTGAGCATTATGATTCCATATTTGAGTAAGCACATCATATATTTCTGATAAATGCTTAGTTATACTGTTTAAAAAAAAAAATCCTGAATGTTTTTCTTTTCCCTTTTACAGGACATACTTTTTTTGTGGTCCAAGTACGAATTCTTTGTGAAATCATGGGTTTGGACTTACTGTTTCTTGTATTTCCTTAATACCTCACTGTCTGTGGCATTCTCATATCATCAAAGGGAGCATTCCTGACATGAGACAAACACTGCTGTGAAGGAAACCAAAAATCCAAGCATTACACATGCACAGTCCCCACCTGCAGTGGGCTCATCACATCACCTGGATCCAGACTGAGCCCAGGAGTTTGGTCTTGGTTCTGATGCCTTGGGAAGTCTGGCTCGACTCTAAACTGCTTTAGTGTGTTGAACACACAGTCTTGAACATGTTTTCCAAAGAAATTCTCTGTTCTGACAGCTTCTCCAGCCATGGATCTGAGGCTATTCCTCTTTTTGAACCCCTCAATCATTCCCATTAGTAGTAAAGTTAAATCTCAGACTTGTAATCTAAACTCTAAAGCAAAATTGGGAAATAATGTGAATTCAGAAACCCCTACAAGAAATGCAAAGTATCTGGCATCTAGTTGGCTTCATTAGCAACTGAGTGGCCAACGTATCTTAAAATCAGCACTCTGAAAACCATACACAGCTGACGAGAGATCAAAACTCCAGAAATCAAATGTAACTTCAGTGGTCTGCCTTTTCTTCTCATTACAGAACAACTGTTTGTTATTTTTCATTAAAGTGCTGCACATTTTTGTACAATCAGATATTTGGGTGGAAAAAGTGTCATCCATAACAAAGTCACGCTCTTCCCCAATTCTTTGCATTCCCTGCTTCCAGAGCTTTTAAGTCGGGGATTCTTTCCCTTTCATCCTTCTTCCCCGGACAGAACAATTAATTTCATCCCTTAATCCCTTTACTTAGGTTCTGCAGCAACAATTCTGAAAGTAAAACAATCAGTTTTACTGCCTGTAGTTAAGGAACAGCTGCATCTTTAGGGTGATCTCTGGCAAAACAAGCAGCCACATTTTTTACAGATTTACACTTCTCATAACCTCAGGGGCAGAAAACTTTGCCTTTCTGCCACCTCATGTTGACCACAGGCATGGGATACAGCACCCTACTCCTGCATTTATGTCCATCTCTTCCCAGGAGGAGTTACTACTGTTTGCTTCTTTATCTTTGTAGGATATATTTCTTTAAAAAAAATTTGGCCTCTCTCCCCAGAGAGGGAAGATCAAGGGGATGACCCATAAGCCCGAGCAATTCACAGTAAGACCATAGTGTATCCCCAGAAAGTAAGCTAGTTTGCCATACTGTGCTTCAATCCAAAAAGCAATATATACTGCATGAGATTATTTTTTTTTCCTTATTTTCTTGGCAGTCTGGCAAGTTGAGTGGTCTCTCAGCAGTGCTTACCAGCCAGATCCTAACTGCTACCTGAAGTTCTTTTGGCTCATTTCCCTCCACAGATTGAAACAAAACAATTCAGCAACTGTGTTTACTCTTTTCTTGCTGCCACACTGATGTTTATTAAGCACTTCCTACAGTGTGCCCAGTTTGCTGTCCAGGAGTCAACAATATCTCCGATGGGAACTAATTTATGAAATGTATTGCATATCTACAAAGCTCCTGTTCTGTCATCAATGAACATGAAGAGAAAAAAAAATGTTGAATAGTGAGGAAAAAAAAAAGTGCCTTTCAGCTTTGGCACTGCAAACTTTTTTCATCTTGCAGTCAAAACAGAGACAGATTTATTGATTAAAGTCTTATCTCTATTGGTCACAAAACAGCTTCAGAAGCCATCAGGCACAACTCTCTGTGGCTGTTTTCCAGGCTTTTCTTTCCCATTGATATCTTCCAGAGAAACATATGTTAACATCACAGAGCAGGTGCTCATTTCAAACTGGAAAGCCAATTTAAACTACGTGAATTGTACGCTAAAGTAAATATATATTTAAGTTTTATACATTTAACACTTCCTAGAGGGTGCCCATGTTTGGAACTTCTAAGGTTTCACAACTTCTGCTTTCCTAGTGGCTGACAAAAGAATGTATTCCTAAATCAATAAACATCTAAACAATTCACATCAACAAAATCTTGAAGGAGAGGAAAACAAAGTGAAGGGTAGCAGCAATGAAGGTTGGTGGGAAATTTGCTCACAGAATCACAGAATGGTTTGGGTTGGAAGAGACCTTAAAGATCACCAAGTTCCAACCTCCCTGCCATGGGTAGGGACACCTTCCACTAGACCAGGATGCTCAGAGCCCCATCCAGCCTGGCCTTGGACACTTCCAGGGATGGGGAATTCACAGCCTCTCTGGGCAACCTGTTCCAGTGCCTCACCACCCGCACAGGGAAGAATTTCTTCTGAAAGCTTTATCACTTCTGTTCATTATTTCACTGTTAACGTAAAGATAACGCCATTCAAATATTTGGTCTGGGAGATACAACACAGGTATCAGGGCTATGCCACGTTCCATTTGTAAAAAGATATGTAAAGCATAGCTGAGATCACCAGGAAAATGGAGCCACCTTCACTCCAAGATCACCCTGCCGTGCTGCCCTCAGTGCAGAAATCCTGATCCAGTAAATTGCCTTCAGGCACAGGAAAAGCTGTGGGGGATCCCAGAACCTGTGTATATGGTTTCTGTAAGACAAAACAAGCACGCAGAGAAATCCAAAGCCACAGGTCTTCCAGCTCTGCCTCCTCCTCGCCCCTGGGTGCCTGACACGGGACTCAAGGCAGACCAACTCTCCTTTCCTCCCACTTTTATTTTTGCGGGGGAAAAAAAGCCCAAAACCCAACAAAAACCCAAAACAAAACAAATCTTAAAAAAAAAAAAAAAAAAAAACAAAAACAAAAACAAAAACAGACAACCCAGGGTTGCTGGGTTGACTATTTCACTAAATTCCTTCCCCATCCTCGAAACATCCTGGGGGAACCACAGGTATTTCCCCCGCCCGTTCCCAGCGATGCCCTCAGGCAGCGCCTTCCCGGCCGCTCCCACCGAGCGCCGCGAGATGGCAGCGCCGGCCGCCGCCGCCCCGCCCGCCCGCAAGTGCCGGTCCCCTGTCTGCCGGGAGCCGCCAACCTTTAACCATTCTGTGGTTCTGTGAGCACAATCAGCTGCCCTGCCCTGCCCTGCCCTGCCCCGCCCCTCCCGCGGCTCCGGTGGGGAAGGCGGTGAGAGGGCGAGAAGGGCTGGGGAGGCGGGGAAGGAGAGAAAATGGCCGCCGCTGGTGGGGAGGGAGGGCGGCCCCCCAGCGCACCTGAGGGAGAGGGGCCGCGCGTGGAGGAGCGTGTGGGGCAAAAGACCAGCGGGCGGGAAGTATAAGGTGAGAAAAAGAGAAGGGGGCAGCAACGAGGGAAAACAAAAAATGTGCTTGTGAGGCTGGCCAAATGTCCAAGACCATCCAAGGGGACTCACGAGTCCGTGTCCAGCAGCCTTGTATTTTCCAGCGGGCTTCAGCCACACCTCGTCCAGAGCAGCTTCCCTGACATTCCGTACAGAGACTGGCTTCCAACCCCTTAGCGCGCGGATAAAATAGGCTCTGGTGGCTGTAATTTAATTTTTATCCCTTCACTAGTTCTTGGTGTATTTTATGATGCAAGAGACCATTAGAAGTAATGAAAAACTGAAATAAAGGTAGAAGCTTCAGAAAGTATGACAGAAGTGGTAGGGGAACAGATGGGCTCTGGTCGGGCTGATCAGAAATGGGAACACTAGAAAAAGGTGAAGGCATTGATTAGTAAGAAATGAGCACACTCCCTCACAAATAATTTAAGTATGGTAATAGCCTAATTACCTTATGTACATTAAGAATGTTTTAGTTTGTGATAGTACACAGGAGAGGTCTGCTCAAAAATGGTGTTTCTGGCTGCAGCCTGAAGCAGGGAGCTCCACATCCTCCTTATCCAGCCCAGGGATAAATATTCCCTTTATTTGTTCTGAACGTGCCACTGCCACCATCTCTTACTGCCATTCTTTGCACATTTGTTTCGATCCTTATTTAGTTGTGGTTGCTTGCCTTGAACATCTTAAGTAAAATAATTTAATCTGTTGACTTGCAAGAGGCCCAAATTTCTCTGAATCCTTGTAATTCACGTTGCACATAAAGCGACCCAGGCCCCAGTCCGGATGCCTGTTTGTTGCCATCAGGCTCGAGCACATCCTCAGTTGTATAACCTGACACAGACGGAGTGTCCTAGTACCGTATGGCCCCTGCCAGGTTACATAAGGTGACACACCATCTGCACTGACGTCTGTGACCTGACGCAGGTGGCATCACTCTGTAGCACTTTTTAAGAAGGGGAAGAGGCTCCTTACATCCTACGTCCTTTTTTTTCACTTTTAATCTTGATCACGTTAGCACAAGGCATTCCTGGTGACTCAGCAGCGGCCTTCATCTGTCACCAATATTAGCAGGAGTGTCAGGATATATATGGTGGAAATAAACATCACAGATTTGCTGATGTGGAAGTAATTTGAGGGCCAACATCAGAGGCATTTTGCCCCCAAAAATTCAAAAGTTGTCAAGAGTGAAAATTCAGGATGACTTGAAGACTTGAAGATAAGTGACTTTAAATAGCAGATATGAAATGCTGTTTTGCTTGCCTTCTACTTCATTAGTCTTGAGTGATCACATTTAAAAGCTTTCCAATAACAAGAGTAAACAAAGTTTTGTTTTACGGAGAGTGTAGGTTTGTCAAGTATTATGTTACAGCCCGTTCTAGACCCATGGCGTTCAGAAACATGGAATGGAAGGGAAGGTGATATATATTGCTTTGGGGTCACCATAGTGTGTGGAGTCAAAGAATATGAAGAAAAATAAAAAAGAATTATGCTTGGGAAATTCAGAGACACTCCAACACCCTGAGATGGCAGGAGTATGATTAATCCTGTGTGGATGGAGGAATGTATGTGCTAACTCTGGCTGAGACATTTCCAGAAGTATGAGCTGAGACTTGACCTTGAGTCCTAGTCAGAAATAAGGTTAATTTGTAGGGGCACTGGCTTTATGCCCCTTATTGAATAAACACTGAGATGAATAAAACCTGTAGCAAAGCACTGGGTCTCACAGGCCCGGGGATTCAGCATCTAAGAATCCTCTCCAGTATTTTTGAAGTGGAATTTTTTTTCTTTCTGTAACAAAGGAACTTCGCTCAGCAGAGGGAGGACAACGTGCAGCTGTTATCAGTGTAACTCACAAGGGCTGGATCGTGCCTGGAGAGCGTGACCCTCCCACAGCAGGAGATATCACTCAGGCCCAGGGCAGACAGAGTCTCCAACACACCCAGAGTTACAGTCAGCAGCCTCAACACCCCACAGCTCCCAGCCCCATCAGCTGCTCACAGACACACCACATGTACATGCACTGCTGGGATTATTGGGGGTGTGGGTGCCTCCCACCAATGGCGACAGGGAGGGATTTTATTCCTAGGTGTTTTTAAAAAAAAAAAACAAACAAAAATCACACTGCAAATACATGTGAGAGCGTCCCCGTCTGCATCATGTGAGTCTCATCCCACTGCATCTGAGAGAGAGCACTGAAAAAGAGACAGGAAGCTCAGGGCTCCATTTCGCAATTTGTGAAATGTCAGGGAAAAAGAAACTGATTCCAGTTGTGTCACTGAAAAATTATTTCTCTCTTTTCTGTTTTTCACAATGCTTCTTTTACCTCTTTGCTTTTCAGGCTGCAGATCAAGGTTTCAATCAATAGAGAAAAGGATGGTGTAGAGAGCCCAGCATATCACGATTCAGTGCAACAGAGAGACAGGGTCAGTTATTAAACCATCGTCAGCCTGCAGGGTTTGCAGCATTTGGTAAGGAAAGCTGTTGGAAAACTACTTTCTCTCCTGTAGCATTAAGTGAACATACATACTTTTGTATTTTTTAGCATATTTGTAGTTGAGGCCATTGGGCAAACACCCACTGCCTGGTGTCCCTACGGATTCTGGCCCGTCTGTGTCAGTTCCCTGATCCTGCAGGATCTTAACTCCATAACCTGTATAAAACCAGTACAAAAATATATATAAATACAAATATTACTACTACAGAAGGAGTGAGGTAGTGAGCTATATCACTACTGCTAAATACTTCTCCTTACTAAACACTAGATCAGCAGAGCTCTGATATGCAGCCTTATCTATAAGGAAAATGTAGGGATTATAAAGTTTGTACCTCGTCACCAAGAGTCAACCTGAAAGTACAACTATGCAAATTGAAGTAAAAAAGGAGTCATGAAGCTTAACATCCACTGGCAATGATTCACACTTTTGTTTACACTTCGAAAATCCTCTTTGCCTTAAATTTTCTCTTGGGGACATGTGTTTTTACAGGACAGTTTCTCACTTCTTCTCCTGCCCAGAACACAGCTAGTCAAGCAAAGGCTGTAACTCTCAGCAAACCTTCCCAAGTATGTAAAAGGATTAGGTAAGGGTGTTATTATTGGCTTTGTCATTGCTGGAAATATTGCATCTTCATTACACTGGAATATCGTACTTTTTCTAAGATCTTACACAAGACAAAGAGTTGATTTCTACCATGATGCAGGTAAGAGAATTCAAATTTAAATGGGAAGTATAGGTCAGGATGGAACAACAGTCATGCTGAAGTAAAAGCTCATGAATCATCTCCAGTGTGTCTTACACAGTGTCAAAGCATTTTTTTTTTTTAATATGAAGACAGAGTATTTGTTATTCATGCAAAAATTCCAGATAAAAACCAAGGGATTGTCAAAAATCCATTTTATCCTTTCTGGTGGTGGTGGGAGACTTTATAATGCTCTAAAAGGGCCATCCAGTGTCTTGGCCACTGGCTTTCATTTCACAACAAATGTAAGATTCCACTTCCTCCATTTTAGGTAGCCCAGTGTTTTGAGTAAGAGACTGTAAGGAGAAAGGGAAGAGAACAAATGCAAACACACCTCATCTGAATAGCTCCATAGCCCAGTAGAATGAAATATGTCAGGCCAAACCCAATTCCTGTTTTCTTCAGTACTGAGTTTTAGAGATAAAACACAATGGTTTGTGATTTTTATTGGATTAGAAGGCAAGTGATTTTCTGTATGTTCTCAAAGCCCCTTGAATATATTTTAAAAAAATCTTAATAAAAATTAGTCTTTTTAATATAGGCAAGTTTCAAAATACTTCAGTAAAAGAACAGCAGCAGATGGAGATCCTGGGGATGGATACTAAAATATTACAAACTCCATCCCAAAAGAACACGTAGTATAAGGCAGAGTCTTTAAATGATAGCACAGCCCTTCACCATCACTTGCAGGCACAGGAAATTAAAGAGCTGGAATTGAAGCTGACAGGCAGAGCCAAGCATAGAGCTGCCTGCAGCAGGTTATTTCCTCGGTGTCATTGCCTGCAGACTCCTGTGATCCATCCATCTATGGATCTGCTGCCGGCTCACCACCTGGAGCTGCTTTGATGCTGCAGACCCCGAAAGGCAGGGATTCACGAGCGGTCTGCCAGCAAGGCTGGTTTCCAGGAGCAGCCTGGCAGCTCGGGCAGGGCAGTGGGAACGAGCTGCCATCGTGGCTACTCCAGCTTCTGGGACAGCTTTAGTGTCTCATGGAAGCGAGACCAGGCAGAAATTGTTGGCCGTTCTTTACAATAATCTGCAAGGGGGAAACTGATTTTCCTCTTCTTGCAATATCCTCCTCTCTGCTGTTGTCAAAGAAAATACTTTGCCGGAGCACAACTCGCGCGGTTGCTTCCTAATCCCTGTCCGAGAGCCGCCAGGCTGTGGGGACGGGCAGGGAGGGGACCACAGCTCTCTTCCCTCAGCACCCTGTGTGGAGCTAAGCCACGCTGCTGACTCTGCCAGGCAGGGCTTACAGGCATCTCCCCGGCGTGGAGGACCGTGGGGAGCCCAGCAGCAGTGAGGGGAGGAGGAAGGAGGAGCCACCATCAAATGGACACTTCACGTGTTAAACTTAGCTCAGAGCTGAAGGCAACACACTCGTAACAAGTTTGCCTCAGTCTGGCATCTAGATTAAAATTAATCAAATATCTGCTTGTATCTCATTTTATGCCTCCAGCAAGATTAAAAAAGAGTTACAGAAAGGCACTTTTACGTATTCTCAAAACCAGAAAATACAGTTTTCATGGAAAGGAAAAGCCTTTCTGGAGAGTGAACTGGGCTGATGGAAGAGGTTGTTCTCAAAAGTTTCTGATATGAAGGGGTTTCCACCATGAAATGAGCTGTTAAATAAATACCCATCAAAATACCAACACTTTTTTTAAAGATACCTGGCTCTAGGGCTTAAAAAAAAATAAAAGATAAAGTGGTGATGTTCTACCACAGATACCTGTTCATCTGTGAAGGATGATAAGGGAAAAACATCTCTCAAAAGCTAAACTTCTCCTAATGGTTCTCCTCATAAATGAAGGAGTCTCTTTCATTCAGAATTTTTCCTAAATTTAGTCTGGCCTGAAACCAAGACACAATTTCTCCACTGATTTAATGAGATTTGCTGCCAATTAATGGCACAGCATACCCAACGAGCATTGAGAAGTCTGAGACACAGTTCCCTGGAATTCTTCAGACTCCATGGTCGTGCAAACACCCCAGAACAACTCAAGTGTCCCCTGCAAGCTCTTGGTTCCAGAGGATTTAAGAGCTGGAAGTGTGGGTGAAAACCTAGGGATGTTTATGTTGTCTCTTTAGGAATCACACTGATTACAAGTAAGTTTAAAAACCCATTCTATTTTTGAATTAGAATTTTGATGCTGGGTATTGCCTGGATCCTCATGTCTTTCCCTGTGGGCTGGGGCTGCCCAAGACCACTTGTTCCAGCAGCACTTTCTCCTCCTCAGAACCTTGGAGGAGTCTCTGGGACAACCCTCTGACCAGACATGCCGATATAAAGCTGCCATTCCACTCTTGCTTGAATCTCAGCAGTTCTCTCTCCTGGTCCCACAGAAGAGCATTACTACTTATAAAAAAAAAAACAAACAAACAAACACATATTTGACCCAGGCAGGCTCAGAAAAGCTTGGATGTTTGGACAAAACTCACAGGAGGAGGATTACACGGGTACTCTGCAGCTGGAACCAGGCAGCCAGAAGTGATGAGCCAGCACAGCAGAAGGGTTGAGCAGGGATCACCAGCTCAAATGCAAGGTACAACAGGATGAAGAAAGTGAGTATGTGTCTGCTTGGTACCTGCCATAGTCAGTGTGGGGGTCCAGGAGAGGCAGAATTTGAGAGAGAGAGGAACACTGTAGGCAAACCGTTGGAATTGGCAGCTGCTTTGCACAGATCACTTCTGAGAACATTTTAATTCCCTGGTTTTACGAAACGCATTTCCCCTTCCTTTGTTGCGCACGTTGTTACATCCAGCAGCCCTGCCAGCTCCCGTGTGAGCGAGCGTGGGGGGCTATTGCTCATTCCGAGCCATATGCTTCTGTCAGATGTTTACTTGCACGAGTGACAAGTCGTTCTGAGCCTTTGAAAAGCTACGGGAGGCATCGCTGTTCCCCACTCCCACCTCATTCCTGCAGCCGCAGCCTGTGCTGCAGGCGAGGAGCAGGCGGATCCCAGGCAGGCAGGGAGAAGGGACGAGACTCACAGCACGGGCAGATGTGGGCCATGGAGCAGCCCCCCTAAACTGGGAAGGATGATATCCTGGAAATAACATAACCCCTCAGCAGTTACAGAAGCACCAGTCACTCCAGAGAAGATGATGTTCCTTTCTGTGAAGGAAAAGCTAGCGAGGAAAAGGAGAGCGGTGAGTGCCTGGCACTTCTGCTACTGCCGCTCTCTGTTGAACTATCAAAGGCTTTTTAAAACCTCTCCAGTTAAGATCTTGTATCCCCTTAGTGCCATTATCCCTAGGTGCAGTGAGGCAAATTAAGTTTAAAGGTAATGCTTCCATTTTCTCTGTGTTTTCTTTTAAAGAGTAAAGGCCCTATATAACTAAATATATTAAAATATACTTCTAATGTCCAGGTTACTTACTGGCAAGTTTGGATGCCCACAAGACCTTAAAACAAAGAAATTCTGTGCCACAAGCAGACAAGGGAAGAAGTGCTCCTCAGAGAGAAGCTGATGAAAGGGACAGCTGTAATATAAAAATGTGAAGGCTCTCACAGAATGAGATGTTCACTTTGGGGCATATCCTTGACACAAGCTCTATTGGTGATAGTGTTTCTTTTCTAAGGTGTGCTTAACTCCTGAAAAGAGTCTTGGAAGCTCTTATTTGATCAAAGACTAGTCTTACCCAGCAGCATCACCATGAAAAAGAGGAAGAATTTCTATTCCTTCTAAGGAAAACCACAGGTTTTTGCTTTTCTTTGTCGTGAAGAGCAGGTGGAGGTTACAGTATCTTAAGTGGTTTGGGGGGTGATGGAAAGTGGAATAGATCCCTCTGACAGTCTGGTCATCCCAGTGTCTGTACATTAGAATACTGCTAGTTATTATTGAAATCAAGTAAAGCAGATATTTTCTAGCAATTTATGATCTGGTAGATGTTGCTCTCAGCTTTCAGGAGATTCCGTTTTCTACAGATATATCAACTGTGCTAAGAGCTTTGTCTTTACAACACCTCAGGGGAAGGTAATCCATTTTGCATCTTCTTAAACTGTCCCTCTGCCTTTCCATGTCCTAGTGTTCTCTCCATGATTTTACACCGCTTTATCTTCTTTGCTTACAAGTGCTCTACTTCTCTAATCTTGGAAAAGATTGCCCTTCCTTACGCTCTACCTTTCTGACTTTCAATAAATTGGCTGGTGACTCCATGACAACAGAAGTGATCATCTCTCCTCAAGCTGTCTCCACAGGTCACAGGCAACCTGTCTGTTTGTGGGACCTTGTCTTCCCTGACAGCTCAGGTCCTGGTTATCCTGCAGTGCTCTTGGACAGTGACTGCTGAGCGAAAGGAGACATTTCTGGTGCTGTTGTACCTGATTGTTCTGCCACTTCAACGAACATTCCTTCCCTGGCTCTCAGTGATTGCTCTCATTTTATCCTCTCTGCTTCACAGACTGCTCCCGCTTGACAGATTTGAAGTTTTGCAACTTTCTGGTTGTTTTTCAGCCAGCAGCAGTGTTTCCCCTTTCTTACTTGTTACATTTTCTCACTGGAGCCCTCTCACTCCCTAACTTCACCCAGCAGCTCTATGCTGCTGACAGCCAAATCCATCTCTCTTTAGCCCAGTGCCCCAAAGCCTGGGATAGCTTTGTGCTTCCAGCCATTTGCTGAGCATCTTCTCACCCATATCTCTCACAAAACTGGATTAAAAAGTTCTTACTTTTTAGATCCAGGTGTGATAGCTAAATGCAGGTGGTAATTCAGCTTTTACACTCCTCCCTTACAGTTTAAGCAGCTCAGCTGAGTCAGAAAACAGATTTCATAACTCAGTGTTGTAGACTTACTGCCTAGTTTTCTAATAAAGCCAGTTGAGGAAGATTGCTTCTCATA